TTGCTGCTGCCTCTGGCATAGCTGTCACCAGAAAACCTTCAGTTAGCCAGCTGGACCACTGTTCGCTTCAATTTTTAAGTTATCTGTGTTTTGCCAGAGGTTTTCAAGTCACAACAGGGCAGGAAGAAAGTGATTTTTATTTTTCCACATTGTGGATGTAGACTGCTCATTCTCATCCACGTTACTGAGCGATAACGGTTCCTTGTTAACAGAAATGAAAACGTTGGGTCTCTGCAACGTGGAATCGTAATGGGATGCAGAGAGAAAGCACAGAACTGCCTCCAACCCTCCTTGTATTGTCCAGAGCCTGCAACAGGAGAATGACAATCTTCATGCTGAGCCATACAAATTACATGCCCATTACTTGCTTGTTTTCAAATGTTTGCTGTTAATATCCCAGCACAGCGTGTTGCCAATTTTTTTCACTTGCCAGGGAGCCCCAAGCCTGCCAGCAGTACTCAGCTGTCAAATGGAGAGAGTGTTTTGTTTTCAGGACTGGGATAACTTGTCTCATCTGTATCCTGTGGCAGAGAAGACCTTGAAGTGTCTTCTTGAGTGAGATCTCCGCGTCGCTCCAGAGGAATGGTCCCTTGGCGCTCAGAGCTTGCCGAGAGGAGCTGCTGCTGGTCACCTTTGTCCCTCTTGGAGCCGCAGCCTCCAAAAGGAAATCACGCAGCTCTAAAAGTCGATAGGTTTTGGTTTTCACTCGTGGAAGCTGGTCTGCCCGCAGTCTGAGTGATTGCCTTCCCGAAGCCAGTCTCTTCTCTTTGGTGAGCCGTGTGTGTGCTCCCTGTTCCCTCGCTGTGGCTGCAGCTAAACCCAGCGTGCTGGTCACTGCGTGTGGACAAACACCGTCTGCGGCTTTGCCGTGGAGCTCAGCTTGTGAACGCAACGGCTGCAGTTTCAGAAGGTGATTGAGTGGTTACTGTTAAACAGGTGAATGGGATTGATGTGTATTGGATAATTCTGAAGAACAGTATCTCTGGCCAAGGCGTTGTGGCGTGTGTGTCCAGGGAGATGGGGCTGGTCCTTCTGGTGCAGCATGGAAACGTATCCTGTAACCGACGCCTGTAATTTCACCGTGTTCTTGGCACATAGATGTGCTGCACGTGAAAACAAGCTTATTAATTGTTTTGTTAGACTCCTGTCATGTTGTTTTGTCACAAGCCAGTACCACAAAGATCAGTTAACTGTGATTTTTGCCCGGGGCAGCAGCTTCGCTGATGCTAGCAGCCAGCATTGTATGGGAGCATCCTGTTCGAGGAGCGTGGTCTCCTGCCGCTTTCAGAGAAGCTGGCTGAAGAAACAAATTCAAATAGATTCCTGCAATAAGTTGTGTGCTCTCTGATAAGTAAGCGTGGTGGTGGGTGTCCATTCAGAGTGATGGCAAATATTGTAAGGGAGCCTATACCCCCGTGAAGGCGATCAGTGCACTCATTTAGAATTGATTAGGACTTGGTTTTCTATAATAATGTGGTTATTTTAGCTAAAAAAAAAAAAAAAAAAAAAAAAAAAAAAAAAAAAGAAGCTTAAAACATGAGGTTTTCCAGCTGCAAAGAAGATGGTACCTCTAAAATTATCCCTCGTATGTATTTATGCAGGTATTTAAGACATACCAACTACAGCTGTAGGTAACAAATGTAAGAAGAGACACACACAAGTCAGCAATCAGTTTCACAAAGTCTGGAAACTCGGCCAGTTCACTGGAACTGCAGGTTGTACACATGAGAACGTTACTCAGACTACAAAAGAGAGCTGAACTTATTTTGCTGCTTTGCTTGCACTTGCAAAAATACATCAGATCTTCCTAAGCATCAGAATGATTTTAAATGGCAAATCAGTTGCATGCCTTTCATAGAATGACAGAACCAACCCAAACCATTCTGTGAGTCACAATCTCATTAATACTATTTTTTTTAATTGCCTGAAATCCTCAAAAATCTGAGGCAATTATTGGAATCGGATGGACCTTTATTTTCCAGATGAAGAATTTGAATATCCTCTGAGGAGTTCCCAGAGGGGTGGGAAGGAAGCTGTGTACCCATTAATAGTGTATAAAGAAATTACACTGTGAAAGGTGAGAAACATGGTCTGTGTTCCAGTTTCTGTATTTTATCTTGACCCTTTTCTGTGCTGCAAAAAAAAGGCGTATTTTCTGTAGCTGCCACACTTTTGTAGCATTTTAGAGAAGATCTGTCTTGAATTGGTCATTCATTTAGTTTCAGTAGGGCTTTTTTTGTCTTTTAACCCTGCAGTTGTTTTACACTCGTAAAATGTAAATCATTACTGATTTTTCTGATTATCCCGGTTAACTGGTCCGTCTCCTAAACACCTTTAGGACAGAAGTGTGTGACAAATTAATTTAAAAAGTTGTGATCATGTGGATGCAAGCGTGGTTGAGAAGCCCAGGTTCCCTGTTGTGTATCTGATCTTTGCCAGTGTAACTCTTGGAACTGGAGCTTTGTCCTGGTCCTTTGTCACATCCTCCTTTTTAATTGATTTCACTTTATGTGACAACATCGACCTTTTTGTAGGATTTGGTAATTTACTGTAATTTTTTCTTTCTGGAACTCAAAATGGCAAAAGTTGCCTGGTGATAACATTTGCCTTACAAAATGCCTTCTGCAGAAATACGCGTGAGCCGGTGTGAAGGACTGTGCTAGTGCAGGAAAAGGTGGCAAAGGGAGGAGAGAGCTCGGGTGGATGTGTATTCATAGCATGTATTAACAGTATGTTTTCTAGAATAATGTTATTTTCATTAATGCTTCTGCCTGAAATGAAAAGGCAAATTAATAGAGAGTAATTGAATGGAAGACAATAATGGCAAGCATATGTTTTATTTTATTAATCTAATTAAAAGATCAGTAAATAACTATAGGCAGCTTGAGTCGTGTTCAGAGTCGCAGTTGGTATCAGTGACATTGCTATTTCAATATTGATTTAGAAGTAAAGAACAGGAAACAGCTGTAAACACAGGGTGAATGTTTTATATTGCTTCTGCAACCAAGCGGTGCAGTGCTGTTTATTTTAGAGGTTTCTGTTTGTTCCATGCTATATAGTACACCATGGTTCACTTGGGAAAAAGCTTGTCTTGCTGACACTTGCTGTAAAACGTACAGAGCTTCAGCATCTGAATGTGTTTTGAAAAGGACAGCATTCTCCACGAGCATGTCGCTGAGCGGCGGTGAACCAGCTCTCGGATGGGTCTGTGTCCTGGGATGGAGGCGGTGGCCAGGAGCAGGTTCTCTCCCGCTGCTCCCCCAGCGTGCAGAGTATCTGCTCTGCTGAACTGCTCGTGGGGGAGCAGCAGCAGGAAGATGCAGCCTCTTCTGTGGGTGCTTGTGTGCCGGGGCTGCAGGGGCTGGTTTCCGTGTCATGGAGGCAATCTGTTTTTCTGGCCAGTAACTGGCGTTCTGGGGCACGTCTGTGCGGTTCGGTTCGTGAGCTCTGGGCAGTGTTGGACAGTGCCTGCCGTGCTGATACCTTCGGGAGGGAAGGAGCTCGTGTGGGGCATCTCGAACAGGCCAGCTTGTGGTATGGGGCTCCAATCATACTTTCAGAAAGTAGGGGGCTTTTTGGGTTTGGGTTTTGGTTTTTTTTTGTCATCTAATACACAGTGTAGTTTCAGTGGTACAGAAGTTGCCGTTTCACTTGGCCCTCAGCTGCCTTCCTAATGCAGTCGATGCTAGTTAGCCTTCTGTTGGGAGGTTTTGGAGGTAATCTCATAGTGATGTTGGTAGAAAAAGCTTTATCCCTGGTTGTGCGAGGTAAATCTGGGTTTTAGTGTAGCTTTTCAGCACCCTGTTCCCTGACCTCTCTCCTGCGCTGCCCTGAAGCCCTCCGGAGAGGTGCCTGCGGGCTGCTGGAAGCCGCAGGGTGCATGACCGAGCCACGCTGCACCGAGAGCTGCACCGGCTGGAGCAGCAGAGTCCTCTTGGGGGCCGTTAGTGGGATTAAAGTATTTAAGCCGCGTTCCATGTAATGCAAGGTGTGAAGGGATAGTTTGCATTAACTGTAATCTGTGGGTGAAGGCGACACTCAGATTGACACGGCGTGCAACTGCTATATGATACAGTTACGTCATTCACGTTCAGAAAAAACCCCTTATCAGTAATTTGTACTTTAAAGGAATGCTTCTGTGCTGTCTTTGACTTCTGTGCAAGACTTGCTTCATCAGATTACCAAATATTGGTGTTCATCTCTTTTTAAATAGTATTGAGCAGTTCACTTAAACTTCAGGGGATGTAGAGTTTGAAAAATAATACAGTTGCTCAACAGAATCCTTTTCTATCGTTAACAAAAGCTAATTTAGGATGAAAACTTCACTAATATCCCTTGATGACATAGTATAGATTTCGGAGTATCATCTTTATAGAAAGTGTTTCCAGATTTTAATAAGGCACAAACATTCCGTGCAGCACTGGTGTTTCCCGTGCCGTGCTCTGAGCGTTATGTTCCAAAAGCCTTTTACAAAGGCTGAGGCTGGGTACCTTTCACCAAGAAACAGGATGAAAGCTGAAATCAGGAAACATGAAATGGCACATCTCGCCCTCAGCCAGCTTCAGATGATAAATTTTAAGTTTTTCAATACAGAAGTCAGAACATAGGGTAGCTTTGGATTTGAAGTTTTGCGATGGGAAAGGTTAGGGTGCAACGTTTTCCAGCATGCTTTGGTTAGGGATGGAATTGATGACTGACCTTATAGGCACTGCTTTTGTTAGATTGTGGTAACATAAGGATACACAAAAATTTTAATTGCAGAAGGAATAAAATCCACAAATGCTTAAACATGTTTTTCCTTTTGTAACAGGTGATAAATCAATATTTGCATGAACCACTCATTTAAAGAACCATTAAATCCCACTTTAATCTGCTAATAGTTTATTCCGCTCAGGAAGAGTCAAAAAACTTGGTTGTGATGAAACAGTGATTGTTTCAGAATTAATCCAGACCCATTTTTTAACATCAAGAATGCTTTTCTTTTTATTTTGAAATTTCAGGAGCTTCAATTTCAAAGACTTACCAGAGAACTGGAAGTGGAAAGGCAAATTGTGGCTAATCAGCTAGAAAGATGTAGGCTTGGAGCAGAATCACCAAGTATCGCCAGCACAAGGTACAAGTCCCCATGACTTTCCTTTCATATGACCCATAAATTAAAGGGCTTTTTAGTGGTGCTTATATCCTACATACATATTTTCACCGACAGCTGTTCACCTGCCATTAATATCTGAAGTATTAAAGAATGCAGATTTGCTGTAACGAGTTATAAGGCAGTTTAAAGACTAATCTGATTTTTTTTTAAATTCCTTAGAAAACTTTTTAACTTTAAATGTGTTTGCACTCATTCATCTCAAGCACATCGAATAATTGGCAACTCTTGAATCTGAAAGCCTTGATAACAGCGTGTTCTCTTACGGAACGTTTATACCTGCATTTGGGGTTACAGCAAACTTCATGGTGGCATGTACACAGAGAGTGTGGGCTGGACATTATTTTCTTACCTTATATACTGTTTGTTTCTATATTTTTTCTTTCTTATTGTCGATATCCCTTTGTAAGAGATTTGTGAAAAGCTGCATTTGAATTAGATGCTTTTGTTTCTTCATAACCAGTTGGTACCGGTGTAGTTACGAGAGCTGTTGGAAGAACCGAGGTAAAACAATCTCTCAGGGCAGCGTCAACGCAGACACAAATAGAGCAGCAAATGTATGGCCATGAAAACGTGCTTGCGTGTCCCCAAACCAGGCGATGTAAATGTGTTGCTAAGGCTGCCAAGAAGTTAAATAAACACCAAGAGGGCATGGGGAGAAGGCTTGGAAACAGATCGCGGTGCTGAGAGATGGGTCACGGGCAGCGAGCAGCCTGCTCCCGGCAGCACGGGGAGCTGAGCGTTCGGAGAGCCAGGTGATGGTGTTCCTAGGCAGAGACAAGAATTGTCTGGCAGACTCTTACTTTGAAACAAAACCAAAACAATGACAAAAAACTGAAAAAGCAAGCAAAACTAAAGCATAAGATGCCTACATATTTTTATTCTTTTCCTTTTTTCAAGTTTTCTGCCCCGAGGAAATCAGCAATGCTTTTTATTTCCAAGGCAGTGCTTTCATCTCCTTTAAGGTGGTTAAAGCGTCCGGGAGCGTTTGGTTTCAGAGGTCCAGCCGAGGGTTTTGCTGACCTCAGTGCCTGTAGCAGTGTCTCTGGTTTCCCGCTGCTATCCGGGGTTCCTGCAGGCTGGAGGTGGTGCTGCTGTGCGGAATAGACGCTGACGTGGGGTCACAGGTGCTTTTGCGGCAGCTTGTGCCAGCGGTGTGCCTGCGCTGGCGGCTGCAGCCTGGGCTGACGGCTGTTCTGTGCCGGTCATGTCATCGCAGCCGTGCACTGTGCCAGCCCAAGGGGAGCGGTGGCGGCTGGGGGGGGAGTGGGGAACGGAGCATCGCTGCCCTGCAGCACCCTCCCCTTGCGGCATGCAGCTGCTCAGCCTGTCCTCGGGGCCGTGAGCGCGGTGTGGCGTGCAGGCTGTGCGGTGTGTCCCTGCATACATCCCCCTGCAGACAGCACCAGCCGTCGGACTGTCACCGGCTGGAGCGTGCCCGAGGCTCTGGTTTCAGGAGCTGGGTTCCTTCCGTGGGACACGCAGGAGCGGCTTTGTGCACACGAGCAAAGCGAGACAAACAGAAGGGACTTGGGTGACAACTGATTGTGAGTGCCACGCGCAGGAGTGGTTGGCTGTTCTGCTCTCTTAGAGGAGCATGAGGAGCACGACAGAGGAGAACAGGAGTCATCTGCAGTTCTCAGCAGTTGCCCTGCAGTGGGTGGAGAAGGATGTGGCAGATCCGCTGCAAGCCTGCATTCCCATACGGCTTCTTTTTGTGTACCTCTGGGGTACCTGCCTGTTAAAATTATTTCTTCTCATAATTATTTTTATAAAGATGTACTGCACTCAGCCCTTCTAAGATCTCTCATGGCATTCACTTTCAAACCTCTGGAGACACCGAGATGACTCGTGGTTAGCGCTACCTGCAGGTATCAAACGTTCTCACCACGTCACACACTGCAGGATGGGAGGAGATAAGCCGGGAGAAGCAACCTGAGGTTTCAGTGTATCTTGGTGCTGTCGGTTCGTGCTGTGACACGCGCAGGTTTCTGCGAAGCAGCCACTGGCTCTCCAGCCTGCACGTGGCCGGCGTTCCCTCTGCAGGGTGCTGATGGGGCTCTGGGCTGTGGGGTGCCGGTGGGCAGGTAGCCGCGTGTGGCAAGGGTCGGGAGTCACGCTCGCTCTGTAAAACGCCGTGCCTGCCCGGCCTCTGGCTGATGACTCTTGTTGTGAGTTATGGGCTGTGTGCCACGCGTGGAAGAGGAGGGGCGCGGGGAACTGAAGGGCTCGCTCTCAGTAATTTCACTGTGGAATACTGCACTCGTAACAGCAGCTCGTCACAAGCACTGGAACAAAGGAAAAGTACATAAACAGCACAGAGGGCATCAGAACCAGCCCTTTTGGCAGTGCAGTAAGTAATCAAAAAAAGTTAACCCTTCAGGTGCTGAACAGTCAGTTTGGGTAACTGTGTGCCTACCTGAGGGCTTCTGAGTTTTCTAAAATCAAATGTATTTCAAAGCTGCCAGGTTGGCTTATTTTCTCTGCTTTACGTAGCAGATAATCTTCCGTTCCCAATGCCAACGGAAACACAACGTGCGCTCTCCATAGCAGCAGGAGACACTCCGAAGGGTTGGGTGAGATGTTGCTCTCTGTGGTGGAAGCTGCAGGCACTCTGCAAGATGAACATCGATTGCATTTCACAGACACACGTTTTGTTTGCCCCTAAAATGGGGGAATGCTCATGAAGAGTGTAAATAGAGCACGTAGTTTTGCTTGGAAGCCAGCACGCCGTTGTGCTGAGCTGCGTGACGTGTGTTCCACTGGAGGAGCAGGAACGTGCGAGACGCGTCCGAGCCGTGCGCCGCCCCCGCGCTCAGGGCATTCCTCGACGTGTGGCAGCAAGTTTATCCTGACAAGGCGGTTCACAGGGAGGTGCTCGGGCTGTAATTATCCCTATAGAAACTAGTTTAATTTTGTTCATATGACATAACCAAATGTTTCAGTGTTTCCAAAAAGGTGTATTTGAAACTGCTTGCATGTATTGCAATATATCGTATCACTAACCTTTTGTGGCAAATTATAAGCTCCATAAAAATTACCTTTAAAATCAGTATGGGCTTTTGGGGCAGGGAGAGGGGGAGGTATTGCAGTAAATGAAACTATTTATTTGTTTACACTAATACCACTCTTACTGAAATGTGAAAACAAATCAATGAAAGGGGTACATTAAATTTAAAAGTAAATAAGAAAAGACAGAGTTAATTTTCTTTGCAGAGCTTCAGCACACAATAAAAATGGGGCTAAAATGTATTTGATAGAATTTAGCTAAGCAAGGAATAATTTTAAATCAAGATCTCCTGGATCACCATAGAACTGTTGGCAGAATATTTTGGGCACAGATACTAATAGCCCATTAATCCAAACAGTTTAGAAGAAATGGTGATTAATTCCATCATTGGTAGCTAGCTAGGAACTACTTGCCGTGTTAGATAAATAACCATCGTCAGGTCCCCTGACAGCTGCTGGTGCTGAGCGTTGGGAGGAAGTTCCCGTCTCTGCTGCAGAATGAAGGAATGTCCTCTGGCTAGAAACTGGTCCGTGCTGTGATTGCTTTAGGCATTAGAGTTCTCACCTAGTGTACTATAAATCCTCTCTAATCTAGCTGTAGAGTGTCTATTCCCTACGTTACAAATCATTGCATGAAAAGATTCGGTTTTTATTTTGTTATGCTTTAGGCTGTAGTGATGTCTTGTGAACTTAATTTCAGAACTTGAAAATGGACTGTTAGGTTTGTTCTGCTTTTTAATCCAGTTTCATTGAGTGTCTCTTCCTCTGTCTTTGCTATTTGACTGAACTTTGAGATGCCATTCTTTAGAATTGTCTCAGCAAATGAACTTATCTTTTATTTCTGCTAATTCTTTAGTAGGGAATAAAAAAAGGAAAAAGAAAAAAAAAAACCAAGAACGGAACCATTGGTCTATGTGTCATCAGCAAATTTTCAGGATTTTTTTCACGTTTTCTTCATACCCTGGTTCGGGTTTGCTTTTCGGCTGTACCGATGTGCTAGACACAGGTTTCCACTGAGGGGTTTGTGCAGTTTCTTACTTGCTTAGTTCAGGTTTCAGGACGTCTTGAGAATGTAAATGCAGCGCGAGTCATGCTTATGGGTAGATTCGTTGGTGGTTTAGGTGGATGTGCAGCCTTTGATGAGTGTGCGATATGTGTTGTGTGTTTTCCAGGTTGTAGTTTTACCAAATGACTCCAGGAAGCATTGTGGGGTCCCCTGCTCTGACTGCCAGGACATGAGGAGGTGCTGTGTTTCCAGTCAGTCGGTCGGTTAGTGAGGCTGTGTAGGAGGCTCAGCTTAGCGAGCGGGGGATCACCAGCCCTTCCCTTGGCATGGAGAAGCCATCATCCCAGGCTCTGGTGCTGACTGCCGCGTCCTTGCTTTGGCACTTCAGGGGGGCACTCGGGGCAGCACCAACTGCAGTTCACAGTTACCGGGTGTGCTGCCATTTGACTTGAGTCCGCAGAAACTTCAGAAAGCTTGCTTTTTGCATGTCTGCATCAAAAATGAACGAAACTTGTCTTGTTGTAGCTCCAGTATTCCTATTGTTTTCTCCATACCCAGACCGTAAGCCTTTCTGAAATTCCATCAAAGCTTTTGAATGCCACTAGGGCTGAGGAATTTGGGGGGTTTTATGCAATTTGCTATGTTCAGATATGAAAAATGTGGCTTACTGGTAAGTTGCTCTAGTGATAAATTGGAGAGTGACGATTTAATATTGACTTCAGCTGCATGTGTAAACACTTACTGTCTTGCCCAATAGTAGATGGGGCTACAAACCAGGATTGTAATTTCTACGGTGAGTGCACACCCCCCGCACACGCCAGAGCGGGATGCAGCCAGTGACTGTGCGTCAGTTGAATTACAGGGAGTGCTCGTACGGGTACTTGTGCCAGATGACCTGGGGACAGTTGTGACGGATCAGGTGGGACATGTTCACCTGCCACCCCCGACAACGCGTGGAGGGCTGACCGGGCAGCGAGAGTCGTGGTGGTTCCTGCGGCGCATCGTTTAGCCACAGTAACACTTAAGGGCTGTTAATTCCTTCTGGAGAGAGTCCAGCATGCCAGAAACCTGCACGCTGGGTTAGGATTTAGTGGTGCCGGTAGGAAGGCGTGGGCCACGGGCAGTGTGCTGTCACTGGTGTCACAGTGCCGCTGTGCGCAGGGTTGGGCAGCACCAGGTGTAGGGCGGCAGCAGCATCCGGATGCCTTAGGGCTGGTGCTGGCCATGCCCGGCTGTCCCGTGCCTGCCGGGGAACCTGGGAGTCCCCATCGCTCCTCGGCACCGGGATTGAAACGGCAAGAGCATCCTGCAGTACGAGTGACCATGTTTGGGGGTAGGATGCCAGATGCAGGCTTCTGAATCCATACCCGGAGCCCTGCTGCCTGCCCGTGTCAGCGGGAAGCAGCTGGCGAGTCTGGGAGCGCTTGCTGCTGGGGGCAGAGCTGTTTGGGTTTTGTACACGGACGTCAGGTAGCTCTGGTGCTTTGCACAGCATCCAGCAGCGTGGGTACAGGCGTGTTAGTGAAAACAAGGAGGTAGCTATCAGAAAAAGCTGAAAATTACCTTATTTAGTTAAAATATTTGTGAAAACTTCTGCTAACCTATATCAACGAGAAAAGCAAAAAGATGAAATCTCATTATACTGATTTTGATGGTTGCTGGTTGCTTGTATTACAAGTTCATGGAGTTTAATAAATGCCGTTTATTGGAAAAATCCCCCGTACCAAGGATTTACAGTTGTACAAACCTTTAAGCCTTCATCCTGCGTAGAACTGTAAACACGTTCCTGATGTAGATATTAAAAATGGAAGATCAAGGACAAGTAAAACAATACATTCAGTCTTAACAGGCACTGAAGTTTCGGGTGGCAGCTCTGCCTGAGCAGGGAGCACAAATCCCTGTGAATAAACCATTTGCTGCTGCATGCCTGGCAGAGCAGATGTATTCCAGTGATGAAAGCTTGGCCAAGCAGGAAACTAAAATACTAAAGAAATATGTGTGACGTACATACATTTCCAACAGGATTATATATTTAGCTTTTTACTGCTTTTCACCATTTTAGAAATATTCAATAAATAATACTTATTTTTTCCACTGTTGCCTTTTTTTTGATGACAGCAGTGATATATTAAAGACAGACAATGGAAATAACAAGTTTTCTCTCAAGTGGTGCTGTTTAAATCAGAAATACATTTCATCTTATGGAATGCTAGCTAAGTATAATAAAACATGTTAGACGTATTTATCACAGCTGAAAGACCTGGTGACTTCAAACATTTCATTTGTAAGGTGACACAATTAGATGATGGTGTCAGTAGGTGGTGGATCACAGAGTCACAGAAGGGTTTGGGTTGGAAGGGAACCTGGAGATCGTTGAGTTCCAACCCCCTGCCATGGGCAGGGACACCTCCCACCAGCCCAGGTTGCTCAAAACAAAAATACTAAGAATGAAGTTAATTCCTTAACCAGTTCAGTTGTTCATGAAGTAGCTTTGTACTTATGCCCCGCAGGCAGAGCAGCCTCTATCATTCATAAGTCCTGTACAGGTAAAGAAGGTTCAACTAGCCAGGTATGTCGAGTAGAGAGATGTTTGGGGTTTTTTATAATCTTGTGTATGGGACAGTAAAGCGTTTCGGTATGCTTAGCACTTGTTACCTTTGCTAGCACCACAGAATGAGGTCATCTCCTTGTAAACAATTGAATTTCGAGAAAGTTTGAGGAATAAAGCAAGAGGTGAAGAGTGTAAACTTGATGTTCAGGTAGTATGAGAATTCTGGGGCCAGTGTTCGGAGTTATCTGTCAAGTAGTCTTCATATTTCATAATTTTAGTGGAGCAGAGTACTAAGGAACAGGCTAACGGTAGTTGAGTGAAGAACCTGTTATATCCAGGTGTACATGGTGACGGGTAAAGAACATACTCTAGAAGTCGTGTAGATTAACATTCAGAAGTCAGCTTTCAGTAATTAAAATTAATTCACTTTTATACAAATTCTCCTGAATTCAATACCAGTTTTGGTACAAATGTTCTCATGAATTTTTAACAAGAGGAATATTTTTAAAATTTGCATCAGAATGGTTGTAAGGTTCAGGTTGCAAGCAAAAAGCCGTTACAGTCACACAAAATTTACATTGGCATGTAGCAGCAATCCCCAAACTATGCACAGAAACGTTCTGGACTTAATGCTCTAGTTAGATTCAATGGTACTGCACTAGAAATGAGAAATATTTTTAACTTTTTATTTAAATTGCATGACCTTTAGCCCAAGGCTGTGCAGAAATTGAGGTTTGGTGGTCTGGGCACTGCTGGCTGCTCTGGAGGAGCCAGGTGGTGGCTGTACGTTTCTTTTGCTGCTCCGTTCCAGGTGTCTCTAGATACTTCTGTGTTTTCACAGAGCTCCCCAGCTCATGTACCATCTTCACTGAGTCCGTTCTTCTGCGGGAAAGTTGTAACAGCTTAAGCAACACCCATCTGTAGCCGTTCATCACCTCCTGGTGGCCGGGGGCATTGGCCCGCTGTCCTGAAACGCTGCAGCAGGGTCTGTCCTGCAGGGCCTGGGCGTGCTGAAACCTCAGCTGCACCTGCACCGCCACGGGCAGCTTCACCTAACCCGCCCGACTTTGCACTCACACGGCCACGGTAGCGGGGTTTTGGGGAAGGCAGGCGGAGGGAAAGGATAGCCCGCGTGTCACCTGTTCACACCTCGAGGTGTTTTGGTGCGTCAAACGGGCTCACTTAGCATCATGTGCAAAAGATAAGAATTCTCTCTGGAAAATGAAGTAACAGTACAAATTGTAGGTCTGTTTCTGTTGTTTTTGCAAACTGCGTTACACGTAGAAGCAAAATGTTCTGGAATGGGGACTCCCAGACTTCCCGTGCTAGACCCTACAGTGAGCAGCTCTCTCTGAAGTGGTTTGCTTGCTGTGGATCCCACACGCACGGCTGCGAGCGCTGGTGTCATTGCACCTTAGATAAGAAGCACGTGCCGTAAGTCATGCTCCTACCTGTCCTGTTGCAGATGGGTGACGCTGCTGGCTAATTTCCGTATGGTAAGTCACAGGGAATTCTCACTGATAATAGAAAATTAAAATCAATAACAGGCAGTTTAGCTGTCAGATACAAAGTGCTGCAGTGTTATTTACATGGGCTATTGAAGGTTTTATCTCCTGGGAGGTTTTTGTACAATTTTGTGTGCTTTGGTTAAAAAAAAAATTAAAAAGAAAGCCAAATGTGGTTAATTTCTGTGATATATTTTTTTTTTTTCTTTCTGCAGCTCTACTGAGAAGTCATTTCCTTGGAGATCATCAGGTATTATCTTTTATGTGTACATTCTGCTTTAAGCCCAGAAACCTGTATTTTCTTGTCAGTCATTGCTTGTTTTGAAGTGAACTGAACGTTAGCAGCAATGCTGTGTCTCTCTAAAGTACAACTTCAGTACCCTCTTTCTCACGCCTGAAGAGACCTGTGTGTTCCCGTTACTGTCAGAGGCTGTTTTGGCTCAGAGGTAGTTGCAGGGACATTGCTTGTGCCTTTTTTTGCCTTTGAGTTTTCGTGTGAGATGTAACCGTAACAAAAGTCTTGTGTATTGGGTCTCCTTTGAAATTAATTCAAAAATACTTTTGAGTCTTCCCCTGGGCCGGTAGGGATCATGGAAAAATGCTCTATATTTTCAGCTTGAAAACTGATTTTCGTTTTACAAATATTATTACTTCACTGAGGAAATCTCCAATAAGCAAAGGTTTTTCTGAGAGCACTTTTTTTTTTTTTTTTTTTTTTTTTTTTGTATCTGAGGATAGCTTGAACATTCTTTCCAAAACAAGAAACATTTGTCTTGTCATACTCCTACATCTGCTCTTGAGTGTATGAGGGGGAATGGGCAGGACTGGGTATCAAAAGTGACATTCAGTTGTCTGTTGAAATAATCCAATCCGTCCTTCACAGATCAGAGCATTTAACTAGTTAGGGGTTTTGCATCAGTAAAAATATTTCATGTTGAAGAGTCAATCTTCTGAGCAGCTGCCGTCTCTTCAGAGTGATGAGGTTTATGTGCAGAACGGCCGGGTCGGGAACGGGACCTGCGCTCCCTGCGAGCTGCTGCTCGCGCTGGGGCGTGTTTCTTTAATTCAATTGCGTGTTATTGACAGAACGCCCTGTTAACCAAAACTGGTCTAATGGAATCAAGATGCAATTAGAATTTTAGACAGCTTGTTAAAAGTTTTATGAACCAAGTTCTGCTCGATGTTAGTGTCGCATCTTTATATAAGGACATGGGCAGTTCTAAGAGCTATCCAGCTTCTGCTGTGCAGAGAGGAACACATCGTGGCTAGCTGCTTGTTCACTGAAGCATGCCTATAATTATCATATTGTGCCTGTTTTAGGTAAATAAGTCTCTCAAACTTTCCCTTCCCCTTCTTTTATTTTGTTTTACTTAGAGACTAAGCTCTTAAACTGTGCATAATTCCATTTACATGGCTTCAGTTGCCATCACGGTGTCACCTCAGCTGAGGTTAGGCACATACTGGTTGTCTTCCTTTCTTTTAAATCTGATATTCTCAGCAGCCTACTTGTCTTGGCATTTAAATTGTGCTACTCATGGTAGTGCTTTCCGGGTAGTCTTCTAGCAGTGTTTTTGAACAAAAGTCAAATTTGTTTTTTGAAGTAATTGATAAATTAGTTTTTTCTTATTCTTTGAATGTGAAAATTATTTTAGTGGGTTTTTTATTATCACATTATTTCCCATGGTTCTGTAATGTTCCAGTGACAGTTCACAACTGGTAAAGATACCCTCTGGCAGGTCTCGGTCGTTGTTTTACTCATTTATCTCATCCCATTGCATTCCATTTCTGTATTTCCTCCTCACTTTTCTCCTGTAACTTTGTCTATTTTTTTTTTTTTTTGCCTTTCTCCTTGACTTTCTATTAGTTTCTCTCTTTCTCTCATCTGTCCAGCTTGTGTTTTTATTTTATCCTTTATTTCTTTCTTCCTATTTGTGTGTTTCTTTTCTTTAGAAATCTCCTCGGCACATCCCTCCTAAGAAGTCACTTAACATGTGGCAAAAAAAAAAAAAAAGTGTTTCTGTTTGAATACATACTCTATGCATTGCTATAAATCTAGATGTATATTTTTCACATCTCTATATATCTAAAGGAAGACTTTTCTGGAGTAATTGCTCAGAAGTGGGCATGTGTGACAAAAATACTTCTTTTTTTTTTTTTTTTTGCTTAGAGTTTTCTGATCTGCAGTTCATTTAATGTTTCCATTTATGCTGTGATTATAGCGTGATTGTAGGTTTTACTTACTTACAGATTCACTCTTGAGCTTTGTTTTAAAGAATCATCATCAGATGGTGCTTTACCAACTGTGATCTGAAAAACACTGAAGCTAAAGATGAAGGAAAACAGTCCCTTAAATCACCTTTTTTCCTGACTGCAGATAGTATTTTATATCACAAAACATCAGCAGATGATGTGATGTGACCGTAGCTGTAATTGCTTTATGCGTCAGTAGAATTATACAGAATTTTTAACAAATATAAAACGATGATGTTTTGTAGATGCGTATAAATAGAATATGAGATCAGCAGCCACTTATAAAAAGGCTGTTATTTTATTCAGGCCACTCTCCCATGATTTGTAGTAGCAGAGAGAGATGGAAAGACAACAATTCATTTTATTGTGCATTCTTGCCTTTGCTGGACAGCCTAAACAATCTATTTTTCAGCATTGTGCAAGCATTTGCTTGGTGGTAAATGTGTGATGGAAGTGAGGTTCTGGTCCAGACCTCTGTCTCGGGAACATCTGTACGGCGCCACACAATTGAACTTTATTCTTCCTACGTGTTTCTTCCAGAATTGATTATTTGTCAGTTTGAAATCGATTTAGTGTCGCATAATATCAAGTAACTAAGGTAACAGGGCCTTGTATTATTTAAACAAAAAAGATGGAAGATTAAAATATTGAAGTTGAAGAAAATTATAGAGTAATTTAAATGTCCCAGTGCCATCGAGTCTTTTATTCTGAAGGACAGGTGATCCCCACTGATGTCTGTTCCGATCTGTTATGGAGCTTGTGTAAAAGCAGCTGTGACAGGGAGTTATGGCAGTGCTGGGTCTGTGTCATTTCCAGGGATACTGGTAATGTGTCATAATGGTAATAACACTTCTTATTACATCTTCATTAAATTCAGTCATAATATTCCTATTATAATAAATCAGTTAGCATCAAATTTTGCGTATTTCTTTACAGCTTGGTAGGTGCCAATGCTCTGTGCTTTTGATTTCTCTTTTGCAGCATGCTGTGAGAACAGCTGTCATCGAGAGTTTCCAGTAGCTCCTCTGTTAGGGTTTTTTGGTTTGTGTTTTGTTGGGTTTGCGTGGGATTTTCTTCCACAATTTCATATCTGGGTATACTTTGTCAGTTTGAGAGTTTTCAGTAGCTATTGCCTAGAGTTTATTTCAGCCCTTTCTTCTGTCTTCTCCAGCATCAAACTTTGGCAAACTCCTGTTTTGCCTCTTCCTGTAACCTGCTCTTAAGCTCATTGTGAAAGAGCACTTAGCAGGCTTTGCTGTCCACAACGGGCAACTGTTGACATGAAGCAGTCACTAAAGTTTTTACTGGACTGTTGCTCTTAGTGTGTTTGTTCCATTCTGTTTCCACTCTAGGCTCATTCACGTGTTTCTTCAGCAAGAACTCACCCCTCTGGTGTTACCTTTCCACGTAACCCGCATTCCTTCGGCATCTCTGACGCTTGTTTGTCAGCCATAAGTGCAACGTGGTGGCAGTTGAATGCTGAATATTTCTGTGAAAACAATTTTGATTCAGTTTTTCTTGTTGTTTCGCGTCCTCATCTTTGTCATTCTTTTCCTGACTAAATTTAACTTTTCCTTTCTTCCTGAGTGTTGTGAGGTCTCCTTCACTTTCTCTCACACAATGACACTTTCCTTTGCTGTCTGTGAAGTTCAGCTCATGTTCTGAGAACTAAAGTTAGCTTAAGAGTTGTTAAAAAATAAACAGTTGAGTTGTAGTATATGAAGTTAAAAATGTATAAAACTTCCAGTAACGCCTGTTGATGGCACACAAACAGGGTGACATTCAGCTCAGCCTTCTACTTATGAAGCTCCTACGGACCCTAAGAGGAGCGATGGCCATCCTCTGTGCACTGCTGCACAGCTACGCAGGGTTTCTGCTCTGCAGAGTGTACTTGCTGGGTCATCACATTCTTCATTAAAATAGGTTGGAACGTACATCTGAAAAATTAGAATTGTAGAACTAAATCAAACCTACAGGAAACAGGATTCTCAGGCATTGATGTTCTTTTCATTTAGTTTGGTAAACGATGCCTGTCTGCCAGGAGACTCTGTTTATGTTGGAAGTAAGTTCTGCATTAGCTTGTGTGAGAAGACTACTGAGTTTGCAGGAAACGTACATAGGAAACATTGGATTTATTGAATTCCTTTATTCTTTCAGATCCTCCGGCCACCAGTGTAAACAAACCTCGAGTGCCGGAGAGTGTTCATACCAATGCCTATGAGGTCAGGACAGAGCCAGAGCAGCAGAACCTCTATTCACCAGAACAGACATCTCTCCATGAAAGTGAGGGTCTGTCGTGTGCATTTTAACTATTAGAATATATTTATGTATTAACTGTACAAAAATGTCATACAATTATGAATGCAACCAGTAACAAAGCTATACAGTATTTTATTTCTGTGAAGTTGCTCGATGCTTTATTCTCATGCTGGCTTCATATCTACAGGGTCTGTGGGCAACTCCAGAAGTTCAACACAAATGAATTCTTACTCTGACAGTGGTTACCAGGAGGTGAGCAGTTTCCATAACAGCCAAAACTTGAGCAAATCAGAAAGCAGACAGCAGCATTCCCTTATTGGAACCACTAATAACCATCTGGCGAGGAGCTCGCGAGCTGAAGGGCAGACGTCAGTCCAGGTATGCTCGGAACAGTACACTTTGTCTGGCCACGGTCTGTAACATGGTTTTAAAGACAATGATTGTAGAGCTGGACCCAGCTTTGTCTAGGCTGGAATTAATGCTATTAAATTACACTTTGATGTAATGCCTTCTCAGGTGAAAAAGCAGAAATAGCGTGCAGCAGACGTAGACTGGTTTGCTGAAATCAGCATGCATGTGATCTGCTTCATTCACTGCAGCTGAAATTAAGTAAAACTTCTGGGGACTCCTGACTGCAGAGTATACTGCTAATATCATGTCAAGAAAATATCACTCACTTAAAATTCAATTGTGATATTGGGGAAAAACTTCTAGCCTGTATGTAAACATAGTGCCTAGAGGAGGATGGTATTTGTGTTCCTGTACCTTCTACTGTTTATGGCTTTTTCCCTGCTTTTCCATTGATCAGAATTATAGTAAGACAGCAATTGGCAAAACTTTATTATCTTGTACTAGAGCTCTTTGCAATACTGTTCCTGAATTTCCAGGGTGGTAGGGTAGTGAAGAAAGGAAGCATAGATGCATACTAACATAGAAAGCCAAATACGAATGAGGAATGGATGGTTTCTTAATGTTACATTGCCAATTTAGGTATTGAGAAATACTGGTTAGGAAAAAAGTTATTTCCCAGGAAAACTTGAAGGAATGGCATTTAGGGTAAAAGCTCCTCTTCGGCTGGTTTTATATATTGTTAAATCATGTGCATTTCTTGCTGACCTCTCTGTCTTACTGGAGAAAAGTATCCACTCCATGGCATAAATATAAAAATAATAAATGTTTTTGTTTTTAAACAGCCTTCAGTAAATATTGCTACCAACAGAGTCATGAGACGTGTCAGTTCAGTCCCGTCCAGAGCCCAGTCTCCCTCTTACGTGGTCAGCACGGGTGTTTCCCCTTCGAGGGGGTCGCTGCGCACATCTCTGGGTAGCGGGTATGGTTCTCCATCAGTTACTGAGCAAAGATCCATTACTTCTCATGCGTATTCATCCACTACGCTGCCAGTACAGCGGGCAGCCTCCCCGTATGCTGCGCAGAGACCTGCGTCCCCAACAGCCGTGCGGCGGATCGGGTCAGTTACATCCAGACCCACGGCAAATCCCAACGGCGGGACTGCCCAGTACCAAACCTCGGTCAGAGTTGGCTCTCCTCTTGCCCTTACCGACGTACAAACCAGAGTAGCTTCTCCATCCCAAACTCAGCTGGGATCTTCTTCCCCAAAGCGTTCCAGCATGACTGCAGTTCCACAGCATCTGGGAACGACACTGCAGAGAACAATTCATGATATCGAACAATATGGACAGCAGTATGAGATCTATGAGAGAATGGTCCCCCCGCGCCCAGACAGCCTTACAGGTTAGTAAAAAGGTAAAGACACAGCTTAAGACTTGGTACAAACCCACAGCTGCAGAAAACCAGTAATGCAAGAGTCGTTTTATGGATGAAATGCTGTAGCACTAGCAGATAGTTGTGGTGGATGTATCAAATCAGTTGTAAATACCGATGTCAGACACTATGTACCAATCATACCATAAGTTCACCATGAATACAGTCCTTCTCTTTAATTACTGGATTGCTATCCATGCACTAAATTAAATGGTATGAGGCATGTCAGTATTTTCAAAGATAAAGTACATTTAAATGTACATGCAGGTTATACACAGAGTAAAAGATACTAAGCTGGAGCTAGTTTTATGTCTAGCTCTTTCTTAAAATAAGTGACTTTTCATCAAAGAAATGCTGCTTTGGCAGTGAATCTTTCATATGGGCCATTTAATAATGGAAAGAAGTTTAATGAATAAATCTTTACAGCTGTAGATGTAACTAACACCTTTTCTGGGCTAAAAGAAGAAAGAACCAAGCATGACAGCTTTATTATTTCTAATTTATATGGGCCAGGTACATATCTCCCCCTTCTTGGTTTTAGGCCTGAGGAGCTCATATGCTAGTCAACACAGTCAACTAGGACAAGAGTTACGGTCAGCTGTGTCTCCTGACTTGCACATCACCCCCATCTATGAAGGCAGAACATACTACAGTCCAGTGTACCGCAGTCCAAATCACGGAACAATTGAGCTGCACCAGGGATCCCAGTCGGCGTTGTACCGGACAGGCTCAGGTGGGTAGGGGGCTTCCAAAGCTCCTCCATGGACCATGTCCCAAAGTTGTGTTTTGATTTACTTCCTGGAGTTTTTCTGGACCCTGTGGCAGAGAGGAGAACATATATGAGAGATGTAATGCCAATTTAAAAGGAAAAACTAGATGTTATAAATTAATGGAGAGAGAAACTAAGAAGGACTCAAAATAACCAGTAGGAACTGAAAAGCTTTCGTGATGTTTGCAAGAAAGACTTGGGGCTATGTATCAGTGTCAGCTTGGGGTCAGAATATTTTCTCTTTGATACCACACACTAGGGTACATCCAAGCAAAGTGTATTTCATTACACAAAAAATTTATTGGTTCCTCTTGCATTCTGTGCATCACTCTTTTACGAATTGAGTTTGTTCCCATTTTTTTTATTCATCAGTTAAATGATAGTTTGCACACGCAAATTACCTACCGCATCTTTCACAGTAAAAATACTGGTTGTACCCAACTTCTCAGCAAAGGATAATGTTAAAATACTGTATCTGAAGATCATATATTGGAACTGAAATGTTTTTATAGTATTTCATAGAACTGCTACTTGCACATTGTGAAGTGCGTAGGCATTGGGTTAGTATTGAACTGGTTTTCTGTAAAGAGATGTAATCCGCGCTGCAGTGCAGCTGCTTCTTTAAGGTGGATCAATAATCTGTATGGTGGAGTGATTTCCAAAAACTCTCCAAATATTAGAGTGATTTAACTAAGCAACTCTCGAGAAGTGCCCAATTCATATGTCATGTTTTCAGACATCTGAAAATTGTTTTTCAATGTTCTGCATTGTAACTGAAATACCTAGAGTATGGAATGTTGGTGGAGGCAGCAGTTCTTGCAATTCTGGCTTCTGCAGCCTAGAGTCAACAGATTAAGTGTGTCAGGACGTGCCAATGAGGAAATGCAACTAGAAACTGAAGGTCTCTGTTTACTTGTCTACCTAACATCACTTAACTTGGAAGAACAAAAGCTACCATGACAGCTCTGTGAAGTCAGGAAGATACATGTCCCTGGTTTTGAAACAATCAGCATAATCTTAGAAATCATCATCATTAATCTTTGAAATCATCATCATGAGCTTTTTGTCAAGGACAATGTGTGTGTAGTGGGGAAAAGGAAAATATAATGTAAGCTATATAAATTTGTGTTTACTTATTTTTCCTTTTTATTACTGTTGGCAAATTGACATTATTGTTGGTGTTTGAATTTTATTATAAACCTTGGTAACATTTTGCATCCTGGTTTCTGCTTAATGCTCAAGATGCATTTCTTACTTTCTTACTTCAAACACTAGTTGAGACATGCCAAGACATGAGCCTGGTTCCACCAAACCTTTCTGTAGTTCTGTGATTAACCTCTCTATCTTGCCTGGGACATTGAGTAATTGCTCCCTTAAATCTGGCAATAGCTTTCAACACTGAGCATGGTACGTGTTTTTAAGTTTGTGGGGTTTTTTTTTTTTCCTTACAATTTTAACCACATATTGCTGCTTCTCTTCAGTAGACATTTGTTACCTGGTTTGTTTTAATACTGATTTTATACTAGGAGTCGGAAATCTGCAAAGATCGTCCAGTCAGCGTAGCACACTCACATACCAAAGAAATAACTATGCTCTGAACACAACGGCTACCTATGCGGAACCCTACCGGTCGATGCAGTATCGCCTGTCAGAGGCCAGCTACAACAGGCTGCAGCATGCAGCGCCCGCCGACGATGGGACCACGAGATCTCCTTCCATAGACAGCATTCAGAAAGACCCCAGGCAAGTCCCTTTGTGCTTCCAAGAATCATACATCTTTGCCATAATAAGATTTTTAATGCATTCCCTGAACATATGTGGCACTTTGGGCATATTCCAGTTTTACATTGTTTAACCAATCGTGACTCATTCCAATATTAAGGTCTATACCTTTATGGCCAAAGTAATAAATGCGGTCTACTTTGTTTCAGTAAGAAAGAACAACTCTTATGGTTTAGTTATTATTACATTTCTCTTCCATGTTTATTTTCATGTTGAAGTTATTACAGGAAATACTTCTAAACCTAATGCAAATTGACTGGACTATTCCAAATATTTTTTAGTAACTCTGCAGAGCAACCTGTAACGTTGTAGTAAGTTCTCTCTTTACGGGAATGGGAATCAGGGTTTGAAAATTAGAAAGCACATATCTTATTTCTTTGAATGAATTTTTTGTGAGCAGCCTGCTTAAATTTCAGAACAACAAAGTTTAAAAATGATATGTAAATGTGCCCTTTTGAAAGGGAATACACATTCATACTTTTGAAGTAGTGACTAGTTTTATGTTGTGTCTGTACACAGTGTGGGCACCTGGCAAGTGTAATATTGTCATTATAATGTGTTAAGACACTGTCCAGGACACCCTTGTGTTTTAAAACGGGAATGTCAAAACCCCATCCAGGCATCGCTCAGAGGGATTGTGGTGCTGTTTGCCTTCGGCAGGGGTATGTGATTGCTAGAAATTCCCGTCCATCCCCAGGCTGTGGCTCTTTGAGGCAGCTTGCAGACACTCCTTGGTCATGAGAGCTCGTTACCTGTTCTGCTGATTGAGGAACAACAGAAAGCAAAGCGCCTCACGCCGGACGATGTGGACTCCAGTGATGCCTCCGGAGTCTCACATGGAAACATTAGTGCACCAAACAAACTTTGGAAAAGATCTGTCATAGCTGTGGTCAGGCTAGAGTCTCACCCTGAGATGTTTGGGCTTCCTGCGTCACAGAAGGCTCGCAGCGTGATTTTCTTGATTTCTAGTTTGTCCTTATCCTTCAGTCTCGGAAATAAAGCACTGTTTTTAGTAGATTTTGTTGTTTTGTTTGCTAGTGGAAATTCATCTATTTCTTTGTTTAAATAGCTGTTAGGAGAGCGGATTGATCTCATTAGCTGAATGCTGCACTCACCTAGTGCTGTCCATAAGCCAGTCTGAGCTCTGAGAATCGCCTGTTCCGGCACGGCTCACGAGAAAAGCTCGTTAGAGCAGGGTTGCTTCACAGTTGTAGCTAGGAACTCTAAAGAAATTCTGACTCGGTTTTCATTACTGATGCACCTCCTTGTCCTGCAGTGTCCCAGCGGAACAGCTTGCCCTGACATCCAAGTCCGTCTCCGTTTCTGAGCGCGTGTCACGCTGCTGCAGGGCGGGTGTGGGACAGTGGCCTCAGACGGGGCTGCTGGAGAAACTCACTCGAGAGGAAGAGTGGGGGAGCATTCGGAAAGCTCCTGGGTGTATTAGAAAGGCAGTGCTCCCTAAGCTCTTCCCATCACTAGCATGAAGAAATAAACCTCTGAGCTCCGAGCAGTTCCGAGCAGGCATGTAGCTGACCCTTCCCTTTCTGGGACTGTGGGACCCCCAGGGACACCCGGCTGGCCAGGTTGGCATCCGCCTTTCAACAGCTCCCCAAGTGCCATTCTTGCAACTTTTTTTTTCTTTACTTTGATTTTTGAGAAAGGGAGAACTTCAATACTACCTTTTTTTTTGTTTTTCAGTCTTCCTTTACAGAAGGAAGAAGGCCCAGCAGATGTTAGTGGGTGTATGTTTAATGGGTTGGTCAGTGCAAAATCACTTTGTTTAATGAAGGAGATATGTTTTTAACGATTTGAAGTTTACAATCCCTGAATAACTCAAATTATGCAAACTTCCTGCATCTGACCATGATGATGACATTGCAGGCCGTACAGCTTTTGTTGAAGTATGATTGGCTTCAGCTAGGAGGAATGGTGAGCACTGAGAGAAAAGCGTGTGGAAGAGGTGCAGGCAGGCAGCACTGCCAGGTGGGTATCTGCTGCATTATGTATTGCAGTTGTGGGAGATTTACATAGGTTGCAGTGTTTGAGTTGGTATAATTTTAGTATGTTTGTATTTCTGTGATCAACAACCAAGCTACGGCTGAAGAACAGGGGATAGAAAGTGTCCTTGTCCAGCTGGTGTGACTCGGCTGTTCTCGTTGACCTGCTCTTCCTCCCAGCCCCGATGCTCCAGAGCACAGACAGAGCTGTTGAAAAACCCTGCAGTTATAAATGTGTGTTTATTTACCAATGCTTTCTCTTGATGTGTTCGTCTAATGCAGGGAGTTTGCTTGGCGAGATCCCGAGCTGCCGGAGGTCATCCACATGCTTCAGCACCAGTTCCCCTCGGTCCAGGCGAACGCAGCTGCCTACCTTCAGCACCTCTGCTTCGGTGACAACAAAGTGAAAACTGAGGTACTGCACTGAGCGCCTTTCTGTTCCCGGGAAACTACTGAAGAAAAACTAGACCTCTTGACTCTTTTTTTTTTTTTTTTTTTCCCCATCATAACACAGCATGCTGGACCCCTCTGTGTTTCCCTTTGTACCAGATTTGTGATAACACCGCAGTGCCTAGGTGTGTGTCATCACACCGATGCACACAGGGATTTTTCCTGTCAAAAGGGGCTGCATGGAAATGATATGGAAATATTTTTACATTCAAGTTGTGTAATCTAGCAGAGCTGTCAAGGGTGTTTACCAGAGCCTGCTTTTGTGTGACCTGGTGATGACTGGAGACTAAGGAAAACAAGAGCTCTGGAGGGCACTCCACTGGTTTGGATCAGGATATCATCTTAGGGAACGAGTGAACTGCCAAGCAAAGGAAAGAAATCCAACCCTAGAAATATACAGAGGATGGAATTTATGTCATTATGATGTGGAGGAAGGATACATCTGCGTGACAATTGGGGTTATTGTTGAAATTTCTGGAAAATCTGCATTTGAAGAGCTGCTCTTTTTGCAGGGCACAAATTCATTATACAGGCTAGGACAGAAAAGGGGCCTCTCCAAGTGCTTTTAATGCTGAGCTAGAGAATCCTGGGGACTGTTAGGCTTTACATCTGTTTGGCGCAGAACCACATCCTGTTGAAGCAAAGTATTCAGGAATGACGGTGTATCTTTCTTTTCACCGCGGGATCTCCTTGGGGCAGCAGCAGTTCAGCTGCTGTAGGTGTGGGTTTTTAAAGAGATCCTGTGCCAACTTCATTAGGCGTGTTCTGTGGATAGTCTGGCACAAAGGTTATTGTGCTGTGCTAAAATAATACCAGGCTATAATATATCAATCTTATATTGCAAAATAGCTCATATTTTTTAAAACTCCTCATAGAAAATATTTTGGTAGCCTTTTGGTGGTAATACTTAATTTAAAATTAATGTTGATCTTGTCAGTAATCCTACTTAGTTATCTCATTAAAATGTTTTTGATTTAGTAAATATTACACAATTCTAAAATACTTTAATCTTCTATCATTTCTGTAAGTTGTTTTGAACAAAGAAAAGTACTACATGAAAAAGAGATCTCAAAACACAATGTTAAATTTTTTTTTAAACATTCTTAAACAAAGAATAAATGCAACTAACCTGCTTAAAGCAAACAATATAAAAATTTCTTCTTATACAGAAATCCTGCAGAATAGACTATCCTTTTAAAAAGAACTCCAGATCTGGATATGTCTGACTGGGTAGATGCTGATCTGAACTGATCTTTGTGTGCGTGTGTAGCTAAGTGTAAAAGTTGTCATTTAAACCTTTGCAACTTCTTGTTTGTAATATTCTCTAAAAAGATTCTAAGGTCTAAGAAATTACTTCCAAAACCACATTATTGCAAAACAAAACTTTAGCAGCAACGATTCTTCTCTGAACACAGCGAATGACTGAAAGTGTCCATCAGCCTTTTCCGCAAGGACGTGAGTGGTTCCCAGGAGTTTCAGCACAGTGTAACAATCAGAACATTTACCAGCAGTATTTGTCCTTGAAGTAGAATGGGATGTACTGGGTTTGTAAGAATAAAAGCCTTTTAAATCTGTGGAATGAAATGGGTGAAACCAATGAGTACTGATGTTCCCCACGTCCCATTCTCTAGGTATGTAGGCTGGGAGGAATCAAGCACCTCGTTGATCTCCTGGATCACAGAGTGCTGGAAGTTCAGAAGAATGCTTGTGGCGCACTGAGAAACCTCGTGTATGGAAAGTCTACTGATGAAAACAAAATAGCGATGAAGAATGTTGGTGGGATACCTGCCCTGTTACGGTTGTTGAGAAAATCTGCTGATGCTGAAATAAAAGAGCTTGTAACAGGTAATTTTTGAATAGAGACAATATAGAACTATACACAGATTGTTCTTCTGGAGTGGGCAGCACTGGGATAACTGGTAAGTGACTGGAATTGAGTATGCCGAGTGGGTTTTTGTTGGTGCATTGGTATTTTTTGTGATTAAAGAATCACTTATTTTGGTTACTGACAGTGTAAGTATTAGCCCAGAAGTATAGATACACTGCCACAAGTGAATCTTGAGGTAGCTGCACTAAAGCTCTGCTTCGGGTAAATTTTCCCGAGTGTGATTCTCTTAGACATGCAGCTAGATCCTGGCTAGGTGTTCTTTATTGACTCCTAACATCTGGTTTGTTACAGGCTTTTCTTTATCATCTGCTGACAACAGTTTTAGACAAGGTCTTGGCCAGATTCATAAGGACCCAAACTCTATAAATGTGTGTTAAAGTACAGACAGAAAATCGCAAGTGTGCAAATTGTAGAAGCGTCTCTGTGCCCAGCTCCGTCATGGAGTCACGGCGGGCAGCTGTGTGCACTCCTGGTGTCCTGGGTGCGAGGAGGCAGCTTTAGCTGGTAACCCAGGAACCTACTTGGCACTTGGTGGAGACAGCAAGGTCAGAAATGGTGAATGACTTGCAGTTCTAACACAGGAAGGAACTCCACTTCCATCAAAACAAGGCGCTGCGTACATCTGCTGTGCCTTTTCTTCGTATGGCGGTGATTTGTCTGGGGAGGTTTTTTGGGGCTGGAGAATATGAGAGGACAGGCAAAAGCAAGACTTCTCACTTTCTTTAAACAGCTCTTTCAGGTTTTAGTAGCTCCCTCATTTGATTTTGTTAAATTATGAAGCTTAACTACTCACCTACTAAGCAAAGCTGCACAGCAGTGCTCATGTCAGAAGTCAGCGAGGTGTCGTACCGGGAGCCTTTCCAACCTGTTCCCGTGTTCAGGAAAGCTGTTGAGCAGAGAAGGGCTCTGTGCAGAATGTATCCAGAGCGTGGCTGTTTTCCTTCAGCATTTTCTATATAAGCAAGCTTTAAGATAACCTGCAGCTTTTGTGTTCTCTCTAGCAGGATAGTTTTTTATGTAAATGGAATATTTAAAAGTAGAATTACGCATCAGCTGCCTTGTCTGCTCTACAAAATTCATGTTTTATGCATCTAAATTACTTGTGCTTTTAAGATATTAGGGATGCTTCCACGGACAAAGCCAAAGTCAAATTCTTAATTATAGAAGGTGTTTAGTCACTATTTTAAAAAAAGAAAAACTTACACTGTTATCTTTCTAAAAAGATACAGCACATCAACATTTTTCAAATAAATATGGCATTTAATTTTAATTTTAATTAAAGATTACTGCTTCAGAAAAAGTGACTCTCTAACACATGTATTTTGATTTTTTTTTTTAACTAGCTACAACAAAATGAAAAGTTTTGACCTGGTTGTACTCTCATTAAGTCAGTGGCATTGACTTCTTTCAGAGTTAGACCAATGCTCTGAGTGCTGGAGAAGAATCCACAGCAGACTTCCAGAGCTCAGGGATTTTTAAAGGCTTTCTGGAAATAGCAATATAAAGAAGAGACGCGGAAAAGATCTAATGACTATTTGTTTAATAATTAAAAAAACTCCACCAATGCCAGAACTAAAACTAGTGAAGATGAAGTAATACCTTTTTTTTTAAAAAAAGTCTTTAAAAGTTGGACTTTGGAATGCATTGGAAGAGGATGACTATTCACTGAGCTTGCTCCAGCTGCATGCAGTTTCCATTGCTGCTGCCCCGTGGCAGCCTTGCTATCAAAGAGAATATTTAATATTTAAATATTATTAAATGTAAAATATTTAATTTCAGTCTGTAAAATTAATCTTTTGATGGCAGGTTTGCTGCCCACTTATTGACCAATAATGTCAGAATAATATTCAGGTTACATTGTGGACTACTTGTATTTCTTTTGGTTTTGTGTAGGTAAATTATCTTTCTCCTGTCTAGAGTGATGTCTGTTAAGTTGTTAATGCTGTTTTACATTTGTTTGCCAAATCTTTTCTGACTTGACTACAATGGAAATCTCTTTTTAAGGGGTTCTCTGGAACTTGTCTTCCTGCGATGCAGTAAAGATGACAATCATCAGAGATGCTCTGTCAACACTGACAAACACTGTGATAGTGCCACATTCTGGATGGAACAGTTCTTCCTTCGATGACGATCATAAAATCAAATTTCAGACTTCCCTAGTTCTGCGCAACACTACAGGATGCCTGAGGTAATTCGCTGTTCTAGAAGACTCCCTTTTACAGAGTGATCATGTTAGCCAACAGGTCCTTTTTGTACTGTAATGTTTCAGATAAAAGAGCTGTTGCATTCTATAAATCCCATACAGTTCTGTCATTCAGGCAGCTCTTGCATTTGGGGTTTTTTCCATATTGGAAAAATATGAAGAGTGCAAAGTCAGTCACTGAGATGTTAGCTGTAATGGCTAGTGGTTCAATTTTGGTGGGTTTTTGTATAAAGTACAATAACTGCACTTTCCCCCTGTTAATTACTGCAACTTTTGTATTGTGTGTAGGGCTTATGAGTGTTATTTAGGAAAAAAATAGAGCGTTTGGTGAATCTTTATTGTTGTATACATTGAAGTAATGATGTTTGTATATGCATACATATCAGTAAAGAAGTGTTCAGCTATTCCCTTTGTGAATTTCTCAAACAGCAGTGCAAAGAAAAAGATGTATTCAGAATAAAAAAAGGCAAAACTGAAATATCTGGAAAGAGCATTCAAGGGCCAGGGGTAGTACCTGAGCTATTTCCGTTCACTTTGTAGGTTTGTTTATCAGATTGCAAATTGTGTTCCATTAAACAGCAGAGTATGGCTACTGCATGTAAACAGCACTGGGATTGCTTTTTATTTGCTGGGAGCCCTTCTGAACTTCACAATATTTTCATAAGCTGTTTTTCTGTTGTTGTTCGTTGGGTTGTTTTTCAAGATGGCCAGTTTTACGCTGCTGTTGAATGCAGGGCTGTGCTAGCGTGGTGGTGCAAGCATGATGTCTAGAGACAAAGCCCCTCTCTGGACAGGCACAGTGGTGGTTTAGCAGCAGCACCGATGCCTGTGTGCGTCCCGTCACAGGGCAAGCTTCAGGCTTTGCAGCATGGGCACCCTGCAGGCAAATATTTTTATTCTAAAGCACAGCGCAGCCTTTTCCTTTTCCTATGTCCGAATTTATACTTCTATACTTGTATGCTTCTGTCCATGTAGTACTGTCACAAATACTAACGCGGCTGCACCAAAGAGCAGATCGCTGAAGGATGCAGTCTAAAGCAGAGGCATCAGGGGGCATTTCTGACCCAAGCAGGCTCAGCAGTTCTACAGCATGTACAAACCACAGACCTGGACCCATGCACAGGGAGGGCTTGGCACGGAAAAGTCCGTGGGAAAGGGGTTCTACTTCTGCCTGGTCTTGTCAACGAGTCGGTGCTGTCTTCAAATTGCAGTTTTAATCAAATTTATCTTTTATAAGAACTGGGGGTGGGTTGCACAAAATGCTATGTTTGTTTTTAACTTCTCAATTATCAGTCAGCGGTATAAAATCTTCTGCAAACTTTCCAATAACGTGATTGTGTCTGTCTGCTGCGCGTACGCTGTGTTCCTGTATCGCTTCGACCCTTCAGGAACCTGAGCTCCGCCGGTGAAGAGGCTCGGAAGCAGATGAGGTCTTGCGAGGGGCTGGTGGATTCACTGCTGTACGTGATCCACACGTGTGTGAACACCTCAGAGTACGACAGCAAGGTGCGTGCGCCTCTCGCCTAAGTAACTTTTAGTGCTAAACTGTATGTCTGATCGGATCTTCTGGGGTTGGATAGTGGCTCAGCTGGTCTCTCCCATTCCCGGGTCACTGATGCACAATCACGTCCTGTGTGTAATACAGTGTGACTTGCTCCGTGCTTTTCATTTTCATCAACGTTGAAGTATTCCTTCTTTAATAAAACAACAATACCTTGTGCTTTTCCTTCTCAGAACGCTAAAAAAGCAGCCACTATATCAGCGGTTACTGTTATGAATGTTTTCCTGTTTGAGGGTATCAGAGAGATGCAGTTTTCCCAAAGAAACAGATGAAGCAATGCCCAAGGCCCAGAACTAAAATTTGGTGCCTGTGCTCCAAGTGCCTTTTAACCTTTACCTGATTTGTTTGGTTTGTTTTATTCCTACGAAAGAAAGTAACTAATTACGTGACATCTTTCTGGTCTGGTTTCAGACAGTGGAAAACTGCGTGTGTACGTTGAGAAACCTTTCTTACCGTTTGGAACTGGAAGTACCTCAGGCGCGCCTGCTAGGAATCAATGAACTGGACGACTTGTTAGGAAAAGAATCCCCCAGCAAAGATTCAGAGCCAAGTTGCTGGGGGAAAAAAAAGAAGAAGAAAAAAAAAACTTCGCAGGAGGATCAGGTTTGCCAATTTTCCTTGTATTACAAATATGTCAATGGTAATTTAGCTAATGACGGGGCAGGGTGGTGCATAGCTTGAATAAAAACTATCATCTGTTGAATTCAAATGTGGAGGTCCCAGGTAGTCACAAACGCGTGTTCATTTCTCAGTGGGATGGAGTTGGCCCTATACCAGGATTTTCCAAGTCTCCTAAAGGGGTGGAGATGCTCTGGCACCCGTCGGTGGTAAAGCCGTACCTCACCCTTCTCGCAGAAAGCTCCAACCCAGCTACTCTAGAGGGCTCTGCAGGATCTCTCCAGAATCTTTCTGCAGGCAACTGGAAGGTATGTGAATTCCTGCTCTTCCTCCTATAATTCTATTTTAGTTGTTTTTCTTTTAATAAGAGAAGGAACATGTAATTTTCTGTTATGCATCTGAGCGTTTCTCGTTAGCGTGTGTGGTTAGTGCTTATGTGCTGCAGCAATGTTATTTCCACAGTGACAAGCAATGACAGCGATGACAGACAGGAAGAGCAGTATGGGACCTGGCCTTTAAACAGTACCACTTATTTTAAATAAACAGAAAAGGCTTTCTTCCAGTGCACATTAGGTGAAAATAATCTTCTAACATCTTCTAACCGCGAGTTCTGGCAGGAAGGAACTGTCAAAATAAGACAAGCATAAATAAATTGTTGGTATTTGCTTTATTATTTGTTTTGCTTATTTCCATGCATTATTGCTTGTGGCCATTGCATACAATCTGTTACAAAAGCATCACATGGGAGCACTTTGGGAATGTTATGTATTTGTCACGGAGAGGTTAAAAAAATGTTAATTGCTTCCTTTGCTGTAGAAAAACAGCTAAGACTTTTTCATTTTATGACTATTATACAATTGATCTTTAAAAAAACACCTGTTCCCCTTTCAATAATTTGTCATCTATTAAGATATTTTGTCTGTTAGACAACTTTTTGTAAATGTTGCTTTGTAAGAGGAATGAGCAAAAAACAACAGAGAGCCAGCGCTTTATAGTAACAGAAAATATGCACATTTAACATGTCATCTTTTCTTTGGAAAATGTCCACTAACATCCCTAAGAATCACAACCTGGTAAGAGATTATTCCAGTTAGAACGTTGTCGTGCATTGGTGAGTAAGTGGAGTTTCATTGCAGTTCGCAGCATACATTCGAGCTGCTGTAAGAAAAGAAAAAGGACTGCCAATCCTTGTGGAGCTGCTGAGAATGGACAACGACAGAGTAGTTTCCTCCGTGGCAACGGCCTTACGGAACATGGCCTTGGACGTGCGGAACAAGGAGCTGATTGGTGAGTACGGGCCGGTACTGCGGGAAGCAGGGTTACCAACACGTCAGACCGGTACGGAAAAAACACCAGGTGAGATGCTACCAACAGAAACAGCATACTTCATGTCAGTTGTGTCACAGAAATGAGTCTTTTTGGCAGCAGTAGCTTTTCAGAGTAATATTGACATTCTAGTTTCCCTGTAGGCATCGTGCCTGGCAGTCTCTTTACAAAGAGTGGAAGTCACTTGAGCTAAACTGGACTGGACAGGAAACTGCCAGTGCAAAACAAGATGGAAAGCACAACTCTGCTTCCCTGGAGCTAAATGGTAACCTTCTCCGAGGGTTTCAAGGTCCCTTACATATCCTGAGAGGGATGGGACAGCTCTGCTGCCAGTACGTCAGTAAATACTGTATTTAATAGTACTGGATAGGGAGAGAGAGAAGAAATCCTCTCCTAGGCAAGTATTTCCACAAAAACCCAGATACAGAGCAGTATACATGTGTCTTTGCTGAATTAAGTAATCAACAAGGGTGCGTGCTGGAAAAACTTGCTGTTTCCCTTTTGTCAGTTTTAATATTTAATACTTTAAGCATTCATCTGTACCTTTCCCATCAAGCATTTTAAAAAAAGACAAACATCATTTTCCTGCCTTGATCAGGAATCTCAGTCTATTAGGGCACGTGTTGAACCCTCAGCTTCAGACTGCTGTGGCCTCAATGGACCCTGCTAATACATGTCATGACCTAAAAAAGTTTCATTTTTGTTACAGAAGCATTTTCTGTCTTGTACGCTAGTGGGATAAGCATATAACAATTACTTATACAGGTAAGAGTATCACAGGAGAACAGAATTTTGTTCTATATTCCTGAAGCTTCTCCATCTCGGATGTTCAGAACATGGTTTCTTGCAGTGCCGGTATCACATCCATAAGAAATTAGTAAAAAGAAAAGTCTGTTCCATAGCAGCAGCCATATACAGGTCATACTCAAGTGATGTTCTCTTTCCTGGATTTTCTTCTCCCTTCCTGGCAGAACTTTTCACTTCTGGAATGCACCTCTGCCTGTTCCTCTCCCTGTCAAAGCCTTAACCACGGAAGAATTTCTGGCTTTCTAGATACACTCTGAAACTAATCTTGGTATAAAGTACTTTGAGTCATGAAGCGAGTCATAAATTACCCCACGCTACTAACCTGTTTTATGCAGCTGTACGGCCATTGGTAGGGGCAGGAATAATGGGTTTACATGGCCTAAACCTTGAAGAAAATAAAGAGACAGGGGACTCCAACCACTAACAGTATAAACTGGTACGTGCAAACGTGCTGAGGAGCTTGCTAAGAGATTGGCAGTGACAGGGTGCTACAGCACACGGCATTGTTGCTGAGAGTTTTCCAGTATGTTTGCAAAGTTGTTCCTTTTGTTTGCAGAATTCCTTTTTGGATAATTTTTTTTTTCCTCAGGCACGTTATGCAAGTAGATAGCTAATGGCTTTGTGTAAAGCTTATCCATTATTCACTGTTACATACAAATACATGTCTTCAATAAAATCAATTAATCATTCAATTAACAGCACAGCCTAAACAGGAAAAAAATTAGCTTAGCTTTTGTTAATTTCCTTTGTTTGCGGTGTGATTATTCCTGTGCATCAGTCAGTAACTGAAATCTGAAAGAGACAAGATCTCTCTCTTATGGGTAACAAATGAGGTGAAAGAAAAAAAATCCCAAGTTACTGTAAGGATTTTCTTAACCCTCCCATAAATGAAGGCTAGGAATGTGCACCATCCTTTCAGTCATAATAGACAGCATAACATTTTTCCTTGAATGATTCTGCTTTCTCCAAATAATTCCTGTTTACAACTGCTCCTGTTTTAAAGCAAAAATGCAACTTCTCACATTTTTAAGCTAAAACTAAAAAAAAAAAAAAATTCAAACATTCATCTCTGTTCTCTCTTGACTCTGTGTAAAATGTGAATTATTGGAAGGTTTCCATGGTTTTGAACCCGTGTTTCCTCTTATTGCTTTCAGATGCAGTTTTGTGATGACTCCTACAATTTCAGATGTTAAGTACCACAATGTATTTCTCACTTGGTTCTGTCGATGGGGTTTTGCAGGTAAATATGCTATGCGAGACCTGGTTAATCGACTTCCCGGAGGCAACGGTCCCAGCATATTGTCTGATGAGACTGTAGCAGCAATCTGCTGTGCTCTGCATGAGGTCACCAGTAAAAACATGGAGAATGCCAAAGCCCTCGCCGACACTGGAGGAATAGAAAAGCTGGTGAACATAACGAAAGGAAGAGGTGACAGGCAAGTAGGCAACAAAGTTCATACCTGAACTGTCTCCCTGTGCCATTTAAAATGCTTAGGAATGGGGGAAGTGTGTTTTGAGTGAAAAAAGGGATCTGGTTGTGCAGTCCTGATGTGAGTAGCAAACCAAGCGTGAACCCCTGGGAAGGACGAGGCAGTGGGTACCACCGTTCTCATGCGTTGTGTTGTCTCTCCAAAGCTTTTGGAGGCTTTTACAGTCGCATGCAGGAATCACAGAAATGGGGGCTGTTCAGGTTAAATGGTATTAAAAAAAAAAAAATCCCCTCTTAAACACCTACAAAATTAATAGACTATTTAGAGCTTTTCAAAGTCAGGATAGATATCTTAGCAGCTTTGTCAGGACATTCCACAATAGCTATTAATTCCTTCTACCATGCCTGCCTAGCAGTTTACCCAGCCAGGGGGATTTTCTCGAATGGGCAAAGCATGTGTTAGTGGAGACCTGGCTCTGCAGACTCCCTCGGGTGTGGCTGTGCCAGCCCCTGTGCTGGGGGTTTGTTGGCAGAGCTGGGCGCTGGGCTGGATCAGGCGTGGTGCTTACGCTGCGGTGCCGAAACCCTGCGGAACTGGACAGCTGAGCATCGAGGAGCAGGAACACGAACCGGCTCCCGAGTCGTGCTGGGTCAGCGCTGTCAGCCTCAGGGACCCCACGGGGCTCTGCTCCGCAGCAGAGTGGCTGATGGCAGGCATGTCAGCAGGACTCTCGTACACGCCAGGCTATGGCAGATCTCCTTCCGTGGACAGCAGAAAGCCGGCTGTAGTCAGCCCCGGGCCCTGTTCCAGTGTTCGATCAGATGTAAAAGAGACCAAAGGTCTCTTCTCAGAGAAGTCGGTCAGTGTGAATTGAACGTGCCACATGTCTAACAAAGTCTTTGTCTCAAAAGGAACTGCAAGCTATGTTTTGAGTATCGACAATTTATAACAGTTTATACGTTCAAGGGACACAGACTCATTCCAGCAGCGGGTGTGAACACAGTAATCCTTTCCGTGACTTCATGGGTCTGTAGAGACAATGTGTAAAGCTGCATCTGCATGAGGCAACGGGGTACACTAAATGGATTTAAAGCCTTGTGAACACATTAGGAGTGTCTACTCATTGATTGACACCATCATCTGCATTTTTTTGCAGTCTTTTCTTTCAAAAACCATTTGTATGGATTGTCACAGTGACAGAGAAAGGCGTGTGTTTAACACAGGTGTCGCGCTGTGTCCAGTCACTGCGCCAGCACTACCAGCTTACTGCCGCTTTAAAGAGATGGCATGGTTTTATTTGTCATGGTAGCTACAGCAGTTTTCCTAGCCCTGGTCTTGAGAGTGCAAAAGCATTTTCCCAACCGATAAGTTTCCAGTAGTGCGACACGGAACTGAGAGCAAAGCCTCACCATGAGGATGTCTGGAGACTTTTAGTGCCAGCTCTCTTCTATTTGTTTATTCTTTTTCTACAGTTAAGAATTTTGTACAATGATTTAAAGTATGTAGTCTCAGATTTCATGAAATGCACTAAATAGAATGTTTCTTTTAACGATTTTTAACTCTTGCAGACAATGACAATAGCTATTTCAAGCTCCCTGTCTGTGTTCCTCACGTGGGTGACCTGAAGAGGAAATTTCTAGGCTGGAGGGGAAATGATTGTCATGGTTAATCAGGTTCTGCACAAGCCTTTTTGCTGAGGCTGCTGACACAGCTGTGCTCACGCCGTGGCAATGCAGGCAGTACCTGCACAGATGACTTGACTTGCTTCACAGCATCACGGCTGAGGCTGTTACGTAGCTCAGGAACATTGTTCTTTGGAAGTGGAATTAAGTGGCTTTCCAATGATGTAATGTTATTTACTTCCTTAGATCGTCCCTGAAAGTTGTCAAGGCAGCCGCCCAGGTACTGAACACATTATGGCAATACCGAGATCTCCGCAGCATTTATAAAAAGGTAAATTACAAAATCAGCCTACGCTGGAACACAGTTCTACAAAAGCTCTTCATTTAATGAAATGGGTTTGGGTTTTTTTTTTTCCTTTTTGACACTCCACAGGACGGATGGAATCAAAGTCATTTTATAACACCAGTGTCAACGCTAGAGCGAGAGAGATTCAAATCGCATCCGTCTTTATCAACAACAAATCAACAGATGTCACCTGTCATACAATCAGGTCAGTCAAGAAATGTAAAGATTTACATGAAGGGATTGAGGAAAGAAGGAAGAGAAGGCTAGGTATGGGAAAGGCTTTTGTTGCATATACTAATAATCTTTCTTTTTCATCAGTTGGCAGCACGTCCTCATCACCGGCTTTATTAGGAATTAGAGAACCCCGCTCTGAATATGATAGAACGCAACCTTCTATGCAGTATTACAATAGCCAAGGCGATGTCATTACACGTAAAGACATATATACTGGTAAGATACCAGTTAGGTGAACTTTTAACTGGAATACGTAGATTCCTTACCTGAGGAGTATATACAATCATCATATGGACAGTTGCATTAGCAGGCTTATTACTGCTGAATGTTGTTGTTTTGGAACAGAGCAGGTTTTTCATCTGTCTCTGCTATTTTCTTTAAAATTGCACACACTGCCAGAATAAGAGAAGATCTCTGTATGTATTGTGAGATGGGAGATGAGGGGTGTTTGGAATTTTTATTTTTATTTAAAATCCTATTACAGAAAATAGTTTTATTATGCACATTGTATACATTATTATAATAGTATAAACAATATTGTGAGGTTGTATATTATAATAATATTTTATTATATTATTGAATTATACCAAGATTTAATCTTTTCTCTGATCTCCCTTTTCCTTCTTACTATTTGACACAAGTTGCAAAGCAATAGAGATGACAGTGAATAAAGAGAAGGAAATAATTAGTCTGTAAAACAAAACCCAGCAACACAAAAAAGCCTCTTGGTTTCTGTTTAACTACTGCTGAGGGACAAAATTTGCCGTATTGTGGTGTTGTGTTATATCCTTAGTAGATAGTAAAATCTGCAGACTTAATTCTTTGGGTGCTACATAATTTCTTCTAGGTAAAACAGAAGCAAATAGACTTACAGACGAAAGAATAAAGTCTGAAGTTTATGCCATAAACTGTTTTCTCCCAGGTTCACCAATTTACATCAGTTCCTATTCCTCACCAGCAAGAGAACAAAATAGACGACTACAGGTGACTCCAAAATTTTATTTTGAAATGGCACCGATAACAAGACTCAGCGTACAGTGTTTAATGCAATCTAAGGGATTTTGAGTGCACTTCATAATACTAGGGTGCTTTTTTTTAGAGAGCATATCTTTAGCATAGTTAACCTGTTATTGGGCATTAGCGTGCCTAGAAGTACTTAGTCACATATATTAGTGTGTTCTGCTTATGGTGGGATCTGAGGTGACTTTTCTGACTTGACCTTTTTTTTTTTTTTTTTTTTTTTTTTTTTTGGTAGGTAAGTGTGGTTCAGGTTCTGTACTTTCTACTTAGGCTCTAAAGGTACTGCTTCTGGAGAGTTACTGGCTTCCCAGAGGATGCGGGAGGAGACATGCAGGCAGGCTTGGGGGTTTTTCCTCCATTTAGTTTCACGTAAAAATTAGGAACATTTCATGGAGGTTTGAGACCTCTGTTACTATAGTCATTGGCAGAGCTGCACTTAACGTTTTAGGGAAAGGTTCTGTATAATCTGTGTAAATTTGAGAAACAATAATTTTTTCTACTAATTACATTTTGAAAGCTTATTTTTCTATCATTTTGTCAACAGCATCAGCAGCTGTACTACAGTCAAGAAGACACCAACAGAAAAAACTATGATGCCTACAGGTTATACTTGCAGTCCCCGCATAGCTATGAAGACCCGTATTTTGATGATCGACTTCACTTTCCTGCTGCTTCAGATTACACAACACAATATGGACTGAAATCAACCACAAATTACGTAGACTTTTATTCCACCAGACGATCTTCTTATAGAGCAGAACAGTACCCAGGTTCACCTGACTCCTGGGTGTAGCATCAGAGAGAAGAACAGCGGTGTCGTTCTCATTGTGCTTGAGAAGAAATGGAATGGCCTCATGTGTCTTGGTTATGAAATGTGAAAGTGAAATAAAAGAAGGAACAAGGAAGAATTTTATTTTTTTTTTGAGTGAGGAATTGTCAGGATGAAAAACTGGAAGGGATGTTTTTTTTGCTCTGTTTAGATGTTAGTTATAATTACTTGTAGCTCCTGTAGTCTGGTGAGGGTGTGGGCGATGTGATGAAAGGTTTGAGAATTGAGTAACATGAATTTGGAAAGTGTGTAGGTCAGAGCAAATTACAGCTGATTTTTTTTTTATGTGAATAAAAGTCTTGTTCTGATAGTTTGTACAGAAAAAAATAAAATGGATGCCCTTGGCTTATTGCTATTACTAAATGTCAAGATTGTATGCTATTATGTCTTGTAAATTTATTTTGTTGGTGTAAATATGGAAATGCCACATTGGTTTAAAGTGCCATCCATTTGTAATGCGGTGTGTCATTTTAAAAGGAATTTAAAAAATCATGCACAAAAAAAAATTCCAAGAAAATGTTATAAATTTTAGAAGGGAAAAAAAAAAATAAAAAATGAATAGTGTAATTTTGAAGCACAAAGTCCAGTCCGGTATATCTGCACCTCTCCCATTCCCTGCCTATTTCATATGAACCTTCACTGCCATTTTCTAAGCACATCGAACAACAATAAATATGGAAGTCTCATCCATGGAAAACTGTTCCCTGTTCATTTTTTTCTTTTCTGTGTGCAATATTCAGAAACAAACACCATGAATACAAAGTCTAATTGCATGTTTTTAAGCAGGTTAAATATATCAAAACATTTCCCAGCTTTCTTCAGTGCATATATTCTGAATTTGTCAGGCTGTCAGAACAAAGTCTGAAGTTATGCACTTTCCTCCATTATTCCTCAGACTAGTATTTTTACTTTTGATATGGGCAATCCAAGATATTTCAGAACTCTATCCTGTTTTCTTCCCATCACTCCTCTACTCCTCCCCTTGCTCTCCCCAGGAAAATTAAGATGGTCCTGCTTTCATCGAAATTACGGTGTCAGCTACAACTGAGCAAATTACATTCTGCTTGGATTTATTTACAATAAAAATATTTTATTATTTTAACTAAATCACACACTTTCCTCACGCCGTAGAGTCTGTTAAGTTTATACTGTCTATAATCATAATTATTGTTATTGCACTTTTCTTTGGTTTTCAGTGTTTCCAAATATCCTGCTTGCATCAGTGAAGTGAGGACAGGTAAGCACAACTGCTCCAAGTTTAGGTTATACGGCAAATTCAGTTTTTCCTTAATTGGTTGGGCTACTTCAGCCCCCTGACTGTGAAAGGGGAAGAGAAATGAAGGGGCAAGCAGCACAGTAAAAGTAGTGAGTGAGGTCTGAACTGGGGTCCGCACCCATGCAACTGCCCACTGGCTGCAGCACAACGCGGCTGTTGCTGAGGGCCAGTATTGTGCAGATGGTGCCTTTTCTTTCCTAGAATACTTATTTTTTTTTATTTTAAGATAGAAAATAGTTTTTTAATTTACCTTTATTTCTTGCAACAATAATTTCACCACTGATCTTTCATCATTGTTCTAACTACTTTCAGAGTCATGTGCATGTTTTGGTGCACAGACTAATGCAGATCCGTGTTCATTATCCAGTGTGCCTATAACCTGCTAAAGGTGGTCAGCTATCTGAACCAAATACACTTACTTGGCATTTCATTGTCCCAGGAAGATTTAAATTAGCTTCAGATAACAAAACAATAGACTGCAAGGGTCATAGTCTGTTATTATTTACTCCTCTGAATCTGCTAATAACTCTCCAAAAAAGAGCAAGGTAGTCACTTCAACATTACAGCTGTGTGATGCAACGATTTTTGCTTCTCATCTGAGGCGGCTTTATCAAGATCAAAAGCAGCAAGATTCAGCATAGTACTCCCGGTTTGGATCTTTCATGCTGTAGAATATACATATATATAGCTCATAATGTTTTCTTTTGTTTTTACTAGTCTCATTTATTTATGTATTTTTACACATTATGTCTCAGTGCTATACTGATTAAAATTGTCTGTACAGTATATTTGTTGGTTAATTTCCCTTTATGTGTCATGTCAGACTAAATGTGTGTAAGTTGGGAAAAACAGGACACTATTTCATTTCATTGGTGCGTTTCATGGTGCAACCTGGGTTTTGGGCTGGTTTGAAAATGTCAGGAGCTGAATGGTTTTAAAATTCATTGTATTCACATTTTTTTATTCAGAGTGATATTCCACTGAGCAATATAAAAATTGCTAAGTTTTTGAAAAAGTGGATGTCCTTAGGAGGAGGTGATGCTAGTTTGGACGTTCAATAGTAGTAGTGCCCTGGGAAATTCCCTACTTTGTTTCCACCTTTCTAATAATTGTAAACATGGTGAAAGAAAAAGAATTAAACTTCCAAAGCCGGGAGGTAAATATGGTTCTGATTAGGACGGATTGAGGTGTACAGCAAGACTCAATAGCAGACTCGTACGTGTCCTTTTATGCGAATAACTCCCACAGAGGAGAAAGGAAAGTAGCGCTGATCTCAGTGAAACAGTTACGCTCACTAAATGCCAGAGAACAACAGGAAACAAGTGCTTAAAGTAACATCTGTCCATGATTCTCTGTCTTGTCAAAAAGTCCAAATACAATATGCTTAAAAAGGAGATGAACCCTAACTGAATTATTATTATTATTATTATTATTTAAATAGCCTTAAAAGAATCCTGACCCCTATAAAAGATACCTTTTGTTTTTCTTTGGTGGTCTTCACTCTTGCCTGAATAAGAAGAGTCCACGATGAACAAGTTAGGCAATGTAAGTCAGGCATGAATGTCCAGAACTCTCAACAGTCTGACCTGAAATTTTGGTGAACTGATATAGTTAGATACAAGAAGTCTGTATGAAAGGACAGATGAGAAATTTTTTTCAGGACAGCATTCATGAGATGATTCTTTGACTTACATTAGTTTTCTTGAAGAGTGTGCTTGAACTGTAGTCAGCTTGTGCCTCTCCTCAGACAGAGTACCTAACGTTTTAACCACCACGCGCTTCACTTGTTCAGCCAGGGATGTGGGTTAGCCGGCTGCCAGCTGCTGCCCGAGCTGGGCGTTGCTGCTTCACACCGAGCGAGTCCCCTGTGACTGAAGGTGACACCACTTGCCTCACTCCATCAGTCCTTGAACGGGACAGTTATTAAGACTGACTAATGCTCTTGTGCACAATGTTGCCTTCCTAACAACCATCAGCATCTATTGAGATGTCAGTCTTGTAGCTTTGAAAAGATTCACTAGTCTTCATCAAAAAGACAACAGCCCCTTTTCAACAAAAACAGAACTTGAGAATAGCCAGCCCACAGATAATGACACTCCTGTCTTCCAAGCAAACCTGGGCTCTCTGCAGGCTTCAGTCAACCTGAGTATGGGCAGAAATACAACAGCATTTGGCTTCCAAAAACCTCAAGTGTACAAGCCTAAAAACGCCTTAAGGGAAGAAATTGCTATGCAACCTATAAAATGGAAAGAGCAACAAAATTCTTTAGGTACTTAAAATACACAGTTGTGACACTGTGTCACAGCCTGTAACAGTTAATTCAGCACATTAGGAGTTAAAACTTGGCTAGGCTAACTGTACTGAAATTACACACAACAATCCTGGGAATAGGTATTCAGAAACTTTTACATTGTAATGTGATTTTTCTCTTGCAGTCTGTGAAACAACTAGCATCCAGATCAGAACCAGGACTTGAACTTCTCAAGTTTCCCAAAAGAAACAGGTAAGCTTTACAGATGTGAAGCTAGATTTCCTACAGATTTTGATCATCCACAAGGGAAACAAGATAAATCAGGTAATATTTAAGCTGACCCATGGTAAGCTAGGTGACGGTACCACACCTTTTGAGATCCACGTAAATTGCTGACAAGAATAGGATTATTTTTCTGTGCCTTTTGTTTAGAAACAAGTCTCCAGCTGACATGTGAAACTCATGCAACAGCCCTAACATCATACGTTGTTCTGTATGAAATTAACAGTTCTTCAGAAAGAAATCATGGCCTTTATTTATTTTCTAACATCTGATGTTTTTTCACTGAATTTACATCTGATGGCTCATGTTTATACAAAGTCAACGAAATGTCACTGCTGGAGTGATCAGAACTAATTATGATTATTCAATTTTAGCACATTTGTATAATTTTATGACATTCTGTAAAGATTATCAATTATAACATTTTCCTTGTGTTAAACTTTCATTTTTATTCCTCTGTGTAAATACAGCAATTGCATTTTAGCTCTGTACTACTACAGTGTTATCCTGACCCTGCTATGAACGATAACCAGCCAAACAGAGCAGGGGCAATGCACAGTTCTCTCCCTCCATTTTCAGCCTGTTGATATGCTCCCAAGGAGTATCCCGTAATCACTGCTGTTTCAGAAAGCTGCTATTCTAATGGCAGTTACTGGAGACTGTGAGTCAGTTTCTAGCCGCCATGAAGCAGGTGAACCCCTGGTTGAGAGCTGGGTGCAGTGGGAAGCTCTGCCTGGTGCGGGATCGCCACGCCATCCCTGAGCACCCCGTGCCCTCTAGCGGTACCCGCTCTCACACAAAAGCTGCCTTCGGGAACTTGCTCTGCACAATGGATACCACCACAGGTAATGTGCAGTTGGCTAGCTCCAAGGAGTTCGGACCACGACACATAAAACCTGCAAGATGCTAAAAAATACTTCATTGTGTTTTGCTTCCCACCATTAAGCTGTTTTCTGAGGGTGAAGGTCAAAAGCCACGATCAACAGCAACAAAATACAGTGAGCTCTCGTGTTCAGCATTTGAGGAAACAAGCGTTGCTGTTATGATATGACAGAACAGTGAAATCTGGGTAAGGGCTTCCATACACCTCAGTGCGTTGCATTTTAATTCTTTAGAAATGATGTACTTATTCCACTACGCAGTAATTTTTTTTTTTAACAAGGACACTTGGGTGGATAAAACGTGATGAATGACAAAGGTGTATCTTTTCTAGTCATTCTGTCAAAAAAGTTTGAATCTATAACAAAAAATTAGCCAGTAAGGTATA